AAGTTGAAAAACATTTGCACATAATGAAGCATTAATGTAAATAATATTATTATTATTTTATTTTTCAATCATAAAAATCCATTTGACATTTTCTATCTATGAAATAATAATTATAAATGGTTTCACTTCAATTGAACAATTTTTCTTTATGTATAAATACAACTATTTTTTTTTATTTTAACTTCGAGAGAATTTTCAGATCGGATCTAATTTGACTTTGATGAGTCAAAGGGTAACATTTTATTATTTCGAATTACATTTCAAAATTACTGGGAAAAACAAAACAAGAATATTTACGCAGAATCGATTTTTTTTTTTATTGTTTTAATTCAAAAATAAGTTAGTGGTACATAAATACACATTTTCAGATAAATTTCAAATTTTTAACCATCTCGGTACGCGCGTGCGCATGCAACTTATTTTTTTTAATAGCAATCGGTATTTTTGATACCAAATTCGGATAGACTGAACATTTTTAAGTCATTTTGGCCAACTAATCCTGGCTCTAAAACTAAAATTAACTGATGAGACCCATTCAAATTTCAATAAATAATATATATTATTTACAGTTCATTATAAAATGCATAAAACCGTTAATTGTAATTATTTATTATTGGTTACTTTTTGAATATTTTTACTTATAATTAATAAGATTAACATAATATGAATATAAAATTATTTAATAATATTGATTACAACTGTATATGTAAAAATATTCAAAAATTAATCAATAATAAATAATTATAATTAATGGTTTAATTCAGTTTATTGAAAAAATGTTAAAATATTGTAAAAATGTATTATTTATTGAAATTTGAATGGCTCTCATTCAGTCAATTTTAGTTTTAGAGCCAGTATTAATTGGTCAAAATGACTTAAAAATGTTCAGTCTATCCGAATTTGGTATCAAAAATACCGATTGATATTAAACAAAATATAAGTTGCATTGCTTACTTATTATGTCATGTGCGTACCGAGATGGTTAAAAATTTGAAATTTATCCGAAAATGTGCATTCATGTACTACTAGCTTGTAAAAAAATTCAATTTATTCCAACATAATCTATCCGAGAAATTCAATGTCCCCTAAATTAGTGAATACACGGTATATAAAATTAAAAAATATAAAATTATGAGAAACACTGTTGACATTGTTTTGGTCATAACTTGCCATGTTGTTTATATAAAACGTTCGAAGATAATATTATCCTTGGTAACATATCTCAGTTTCGGATCGTATCGACGACGCTCCGTTAAATTAACGGGGAAGTAAGGTCATAAATCTCGAATGGACATCAAATGAATAGCTATCGTATAACGAAGAAGAAAGGTAAACGTTTTCTCACATAATTCTGGATAAAGTCTGCAGATAAATATCAGACCTCTGGGTCATTTTTGCTCATTTTGGGTTTAACATTTATCATGTACCTATGTTATTGTATATATGTTACGGGAAATGTAGTCCTGCACAGGAAATGTGGACCACATTTTTTTTAACCAACAAATATTGTGCGAATAAATAGCTAATATTAAAATTATAGTTTGTAATAGAAATGAAATGATAATATTTTTATTAAATTATTCCTTTATATATATATATATATATATATATATATTTTAACTATCTATCCTTCATTCCTTCAAATGAATTCAATCCAAACACATTTGGTTATGTATATTTTATAGTCCGTTCTCTGGTATACCTCAAGGTGAATAATCAGATATGAAATCCATAATTTAAATTATTCATAAATAAATATATAAACGAAATAATATTAGAGTACTACATAGTCGATGTTGATTGAAGATTATTGTAAAAAATTTACAAAATATTTGTTCATTTTATCAATCAATAATTAATGCTATATGTATCACGAATAAACTTAAAATATAAAACACTTCGTAAAAAAATTCACAAATTTTATCAAAATTAAACACAAATATGTGTTCAAAAAAATTGTACACGATTGTAACTAAATKTCAGTGTTGTAACAACTGCAAAAACTATATAGTTTATTATTGTTCATGTGATAATATATGTATTTTTTATTCTCACTCTAACGGTGATGATTATTTTCAATTTTCAAATTTTATTTTCCAACACGTCGTGACTTAAACAAGGTTTTAATTAATATTATGATATTTAAAAAAAAACGCATGACTAGGTGTTTCGACAAAAGCGTATTGAATAATGTATACAATAATAGGGCATCCCATACAAATTCATTACAAAAATAGGCGAAAAAAAAGTTCCATTACTTTATTTTTGTGTAAACGTATTAATAGTAATGTATACAATACACATTTATGTTCTTACTTCTGGGCAAAGAGAGCTTTTAGTTTTACATTGGTATGTGCATATGTTTATGTTTAAAAATGATTATGTAGTTTTTAAATTTAACACAATAATGGTACCTTAAATAGGTCATTCATTTAGAACTGTCAGGCATTTCTTAAGAAACTAATAAATAAATAAACCTCTGTGTAATAAGACARATTTAACGGAGAGTCTTAGTGCACTTTCTCAGGGCACTGGGCAACAGATGTTCGGGGACCATCCAGATGCGAAATACGGTAAAAAAAAAATTAAAACTTTTTGGTTTTTGGTTAAACCCTCGGTTTACGAAATTTATGAATAAAAAATATCAATTTCAAAAATAAATATTGATTTTGTATTTATATTAACATCTGGACTGCAAAATTAATACAATAAGATGTAACATAACAACAGAATGGCACGTGGGGCATCCAATGAACATGAAATATTTTAATATATAGGTTATACCTATTCAACTTTAGATTCCTAATGATGAATATATTGAATTTCCAATCAATGGTGTTAGTTAGATAATATAGTTTTCAAAAGCATCATGAAAAACAAACAAAAAAAATAAAGTAATTTTTACGCAAAGCAAGTTTTCGACAATTTTTTTTTATGAACCTCTGAAAAAAATGATTACATATACGTCATAAAATTTTCACCAGATGTTTATACTACCATTTTATATACATCATTACATTTTCTAAATATTTTGAGTTATTTATARATGTTTTAAATTTTAGATTTATGTTTTACAAATGTAAATTAATGAATTGTTGTTTGGTCAATAGAATTATGAATGTTTAATAAAAATTACTGTACTATATTGCTATTTTTAAATGAACTTTTAATACACGAACAGTGATATTTCAAACTTAAAGTAAATACGTTTTAGATAAATATATTTTATAACATGCAAGTTTACAAATTCTTATATTTTCTTTACCACGTACTTATAAATATATTGGGTATTTTTAATAATTACTGATAGGGGCCTAAAAAAAAAACTGTGTCCAAAAATAAGAAAGTCTTAATCCAGCCGTGTGAAAATATCATTTTTTTTATAAGGAAGAAAGTTTTTTTTTCAATTAACTGTTCTATTATAAGATCTTTTATTTGATAAAGGTATTAAATTCAAATACAAAATCCCGACAAAATATCATAACTATTTTTTTTTTATATAAACGTGTTAAGTTAAAATTTTGACAAAATTCATCAAAATCACAAAAATGTGTATATTATTTTTACCTAGTTAAAAAGATATTATAACAGCTAAGACTTAAACAATTTAATACAATATTCCACATAAGTTACCAAAAATTTGTTTTTGGGCAGTATACACTTTTTTATTTTTCAGAAGGTTTTCGTTGTCATGGTTATTTATAATATTATCAAAAACTTATTAAATATCATAAATTGTATAGTCCATAGTTTTACCTAACAAAAGAAAAATATAGAGTAGTTTTTTTTCTAACAATCTATAAATCAAAAAAATTAAAAATGTTTATAAACCTAATACTTAAACATTAAATAAATTAAAAACATTAATATKATAACAAAAAATGACATTATTTCCTGTAATTATTTTACCTAATTATTTATAWTTTTTTTTTTATTTAAATTAAATAAATATTAATCACATGTAGAAATTCCATAAAATTTAACATCATAATTTTAGTTTTAGAAATTATTTATTATTTTTATTTTGTTAAAACTTAAAAAGTGATTCTATAAATACCTACAAATAAACATCATACAATAGCTCTGTTAAAAATCAATTTGATATTTTATTACACAATATTATAGCAAGAAAACATTTTTTATCGTTGTTAATGAATAATAATAATTATCATAAGATGTATKTGTTAAAGCGTCTAATATTTATTTAAGTAAAAACTAATAAATGAATAAATAAATAAATGTATTGGAATATAGTTCAATATATAACTTCCATTTCTATCACTAAACATAGATATTTTAACCTAATATTACTATATAACTATTATGATTTTCAATAAAGAAATAATACAAAAATAGATTTTATAAAAACAGTTTGTAACTGACAAGTGACAAGAGTATTATAATGTCGAGAAAAACAAACCCCTACTGGTCTAAAGCAATCTACCTTACAGTTTAATAACGTATGCGAGAATGATATATTGTTAACTCCTTCCATAACTTTATGAGAAAGTTTTTGAAGTTCAAACATAAACACTTACACTTTGCTATTTGAACGAAGGAATCAACTTTATTGGTTAACTTTTTAACAACATCAAAACATTTTAAAGAAAATCGATTCTAACATTATATTGATATTATTCCAACGAATAAATTTTAAGAAAAGCTAAAAMCATTTACGTGCGCAAATAATAAAAACTATTATACTTATCAAGACTATCTAGATATAATAATAACTTATATTCTATAATTACAGTTAAACAGTTAMATTTAGCATTGCTTGACATGGTGTGAATATATTGTATTTTGAAGCACGCAACATGAAACCATTGTATGTGGTATTACTAAGTATAGAAATGAATAAGAAATAAAATATTTATAAATATCCAAATACATATAACGTTAACTACTATAATGGTTAACATATTTTTAAATAATCATTTATTCAATTAGAATATGTTGAAATATATTAATCACACTGATTTTTTTTTTTTTTAATATAGATCCAGAAATTCATCGGAAATCAAAAAAAAAACAGTAAGTATTGAAATGTGATTTTGAATAAACCCATTTGATCATGACTAAAAATAGCTCAGCAATATAGCTTGTACATTATTATATTTAACCAGAAATTAAGTTAAAATAATAAAATAGAAACCTATAGTTAAGTTTAATAAAATCGTGTTATATTTTTAATCACTATACAAATTATATAGAATATCTCCTTTGTGCTGTATCAAAATTACTTTGAACATGAACAATTTAAAAGTAATCCATTTTTTGCATGTCAAATGAACCACAAATGATTATATTTTAAGTAAACAATGGGTTCTATAATGATTATTCAGTTCATCAAAAGATATACCACTACAACTTGTATTATAATATCAGTTCCAATGAGCAATTTACAAAAAATTATGTACATAAAAAAGAAAAATATAACCATGGTAAAACAATGTTTGTTCAATATTATTGTATTATTAGTTCTATAGTGTTCTTCTTTTACTATAATCTTTCATTTGTTATTCAAAATAAAATTTTGTAATAAGTAACATAAAATAATATAGCAAATACCTAGGTAAAATGATAACATAATTATTATTATATCAAATCATATCCTTTATTAAATAATTATTAACTGATTGTCGATGAAAATATGTAAGTAAAAAAAAAAAAAAAATGCTTCTTTCTATTATTTTAAATACGCTCATCATATATGCCTTAAGAGAATATATTGAAAATTAAGCCAAGTTTGTACATATAAATAAAATTAAACATTATAAAAAAATAAGTGCTATGTGAGATACTCTTCTTATATTTATTTCAAAGCAATAATTTATAAATTTTTTTTTATTGGTATGGTTTTGGAACTTTGAAAGTCGATAAATTATGAGTTATAGTAATTATTTGGTACCCATTTGAAAATACTTGTTAAAATAATATTGTCAAAGTATTTTAATGAATTATTTCTATCATTATTTGATTGTATTACTTACATGAATGGTAAGTTTATTAAAAAACACGAAAACCAAGAAGTTTGCAGTTTATTTTTTTGTCAGAATAACATCACAATACCTCAAATTCAACGTCGACATTTTCGGGGAAATAAATAATAAAAGAAAAAATGTTTAGGTACATACAAATGTTATTACATTAAAAATAATATGAAATGCAATCATTATTTTTTTTTTCATTCCATTACTATTATTATTTTTATATGYTTACATTTRTTTCTTAACGTAAACAAAATATAATACATGGTATATGTATTTCTAATTGATCTATGACACCTGTCACGTTTGGAGAATTAAATTCACATATGAAACAAAAAATATTGAATAAGCACTATAATAATATATATTAGAGAGTAATACATAACTAAACAGAGGGTTTTATGAATGCAACTTTTTTTAATTCTTTCACGATAACTAAAGTTTTATTAGTATTTAGATTTTTGATTTTTTTTTGATTTTTAAGCGCAATGCACTTGAAATTTACAACACACATATTCACAGTTCTCGGAAGATTTGTAAACCAAGTTTATTCTTAACATATTTTAAACATATAAGTAAAATTATTTCAAAAACACTCTAATTGAGAAATTGTCCTATTTGTCAGATATACTTTCACCCTACAACGTATTATTTATGTATTAACCAGTCAGAAATTCATTATATTAGCTTATTATGAATTTCTTGAAAAAATTTTTATTCAATTTTTATTAAAAAATACGAATTCTAAAAAATTGTTTAACAAGTGAGTTAAAGTCAATGTTATCAACACGCATATTGATATATACGTATATATTAATAATATATTGCTTGATTTACCAAACATGCTTATTACTTCTATTTATTTATTTAAAAATTAATTCATTAAAATTCTGATTTTTCTTTTTTGAATTTTTAAATATGCTTAAAGACCATTTTGTCAATTATTCTTTTTTTTTTTTACTACATTGAGAATGCCTATGGTAAAACAAACTTCTGATTTTCCAATAAAAACCTCCCTATTTTTTCACTGTGAATTATTTAGTAGATAATTTTTGTTTGAAAGTTATAATGTAAGTACTTAATTCCAATTTTAAATATGTAGTTTTTCAGTTATCAAAATGTTTGTATTAATGATAATCGCCCTTAAAAATGGATTGACAAAAATAAAAAATAAATTTAATTTTGGATCTAATAATTTATTATACTTRRGATATTTTTACAAATTAATAATATTAATTACCAAAATGTTCAAATAACTATATCCCGCAGCTGCCATATCTTCTAAACCTATTATCAATTATCATAKATATATTATTATCCTCAGTACGAAAATTTAACCAGATCCATTTCCTCAGCAACTCCACCTTAGAATTTCCAGTTGAAATCCATACCAATGGTTTGTACCTCGTTTTAATCTGTTTGTACCTCGATGATTTTCAAATTATTTCAAATTTAAAGGTGGGGATGCTGAGGAAACGCTGAACCCCACCTTTAAATCTGGAATAATTTGAATACCATCGAGGTACTAACGATTTTATATGTGGTATTAACAGGTGAAACGATTGGTATGGGTTTCAACTTAAAATTCGAAARTGGGAGTGTGCTACCGTTTCTCCGGCACCTCAAAATCGGTGTAGGGTTAGTTTGGAAACCGCTGAGGTTCAAAAAGATACAAACGAGGTATAAACGATTATCATGGGTTTCTACTCAACATTCCAGGGTGGTKCTGTTGGGGAAATGGATCTAAGTTAAACAAAAAAACTATTCTTACGGATTTTGATTCTGATACGTAAACATTTTCAAAAATATTATCTGTTAATTAAATTCTTGCAAAAAAACATGGTATTTCCCTTTTTAGAATATATAAGTATCTCCACGAGATACTCCTTTAGCACTCAAAATATTAAAGAATTTTGAAATATGGTCTTTAAATATATTTTAAATTTTTAAACATCATATTTTGAATAACTGCATTATTAAACAGAAAAAAGGAGTGAACATACACGATGAATCACTCTATATAATAATACTGAAACACAACGGTTTATTCCGGATTTTATGACATTAAACTCTTCTTAGAACATTCTAGTGCACACAATCATAAAACTTGTTTAGGAGGTATATAAAATAAATAATACAATGACTGAACTCTTATAGAATCATAACATATTGATATATTATATTATTTTATTCATTTTTTACAAGCCTGAATGCGAAAGAAAATKTTCTTGCAAAAAGTTTGTTTTATTGAAAATATTAATCACTGATTCAATTGATTAATCGTACACTTATTAGCTACACACACTGTATCATTTTAGAACGAAACGAGTTTATAAGAACTGACAATAATTATCGTTAGGTTCTATTAGAGTTTAACCGAACATTTCCAAACAATTGGGACAAATTGTATTTTYCTATCTATATAGACTTCAATTGGACATCATTTACGCTTAGTTGAAGAAAACAAGATATCGTATTTTGTCTGTAAATTTTTTGAAAGCTTCGTCCATGTTATACAAGAGAATATTGGTCCCGGTGGAATTCATTGTTCGACAAATAATATGATACGAATACGGTCATTATCGTCTAATGATGGTTGTCGATGGAAAATGTATTTTTTGATCGGAGACTTTTCTTTTTTTGACTCATCTTTCTCTGTTTATTGTCCCTTCAAAGAAAACGAAACGTTCGTATTACAATTACAAACAATAAACGAATATCTCTTGATACATAACATGAAGTCTAATCAAATGATAGAAGCGCCSTGAACAATATTTTAAAGAAAATGTTTCGTGATAATATGTAATACTTAATAGAAGCAATAAAATTATACTTTGAACTAAATTTATAACTTCTGATGGGTACAACAAAATAATTATTTGTTATCAACTAGGTACGTAACGACGTAAATGTCCATCTAACGAGATGGACATTTATTTGTAGATATATTGTTTTTAATAATGGTCAAAAAAAAGTATTTGAAGACTAGTATTACTGTATTAGTAAAACTAGTTTATTTTAAAACTGTATTATCCCAACAAAATAGATATTTTGAAATATGCATTTGACATGTTTTCTCTTTAAATTTATCAATTACTAAGAAAATACTCTTTCAATGTCTTATAAATACCATTTTTTTTTTTCAAGGATCTAATATTACGATTGCATTCCGGCTTCGAAGACTTAGATCCGGCACTGCTAAGGAATTGATATAATATAATAGGTATAAAGGTCTATTAAGATAATATTGTAAATTATTTTAGAAACATTTACACTGGTTTGAAACCGATTTTAAAACTTTGGGCAAGGGGTGGCTCCAAGAAAAGGTACTAACCCCCC